TTCTCGGCTTAATCAACGATGTTTATTCAGTACAGCCTTCGAAGTAAGCAATCACTTTTTTTTTTTCAAAAGTGCAATTAGGGTTTCAAGAAGTCTTCAACCCATACTGTTTACCGTTCTCATGTAGAAGTCTCTAGCAATCTTGCGTTGAAGGAAAGTCTCTTAATGTGAGATGGCAGTGAAAATAAAACTACTGTTTTTGAGTAATCTCAGAGGAGGTGCCCAAATTTGCAGTTGTCCATACAGTCCAGGATCAGAAGAAAACAATAACGCGGATCAAAAGGCTAGCGACGATATGGATGAATTGACGGGAAAGCAAAGATGTCACTTAACTGAGGTCTGTAAATATTTACTTTAATCAGCTGCTGATCACAACGGGCAGTGTAGTATCACCTGGTAGTCAGTGCATCGCCGATCCTGACGCTCGTTTCGTTTTCTAAAAAAATTACCAGCCCGAAATGGTTTTCCCAACACAAGCATTTGACGAAGGTTTAACCATTTCACTGCCCAATATCAAACGCTGCTACTCGTCAATCAAGCTAAAGTTGTCTACCGGCTGGAAAAATTATGTCCAGAAACCGCAAAAAATGGACAGTTGTTATTCACTGATGATAAACGATTTTGCAGATTTTTCCGTGCCGTTATGGACATAGCAGTGGACATCTGTTATTCCTCGATAAAGTTGCATATTTGTTTATGCAGTTCGTCAATTTGAAACAAACCACCGTTATGACAATTTCTGGCGCACGCACATTTCTGAAGCAAGTTTTTGAGGGTAATAGGACATCCGTCCTGTTCAAAAGATAAAGATACTTAAAACGCAGTCGCAGCTGATCAAAGAGTAATCATATGGAATTCGAGCAGCCGCAGTCTGAGGAAGCGTTTTGTTAGAGACGTCTGGAATTAGACAAATCCTAGACGTAGCCCGTATTTTCGGCGGTTTTTTGCCAAAATCGTGAGGACAAACCGTCGATTTAGCTTAGTTTAAGAAATCATAACGCACTACCTTGTTTCAAATCGGGTAAACCAGGATGCTGTAAAGCAAATTAATGGCGAGTTCGACTCCCCGACATGCGCAGTACCAACTGACCATCGTGAAGAATGAACGAATCGTAGAGAAACTGGTCTTCCCGCAGGCGAAGTCGAACCTCTAAACTGAGATGATGCAGCGGCAAGTAGTAACGCTTTCGTGCTGAAAATCTCGAATTTTTCCTTGTAATTTTTAACTTTTTAGAATCCCTTCACAGTACCCTCATGTTA